TTTTTTTTTTGAGATGGAGTCTTGCTCTGTTGCCCAGGCTGGAGTGCAGTGGCACAATCTCGGCTCACTGCAAGCTGTGCCTCCCAGGTTCACGCCATTCTCCTGCCTCAGCCTCCGGAGTAACTGGGACTACAGGCACCCACCACCACGCCCAGCTAATTTTTTGTATTTTTAGTAGAGATGGGGTTTCACCATGTTAGCCAGGATGGTCTCGATCTCCTGACTTCATGATCCACCCACCTCGGGCTCCCAAAGTGCTGGGATTACAGGCATGAGCCACTGCGCCCGGCTGAACATCAGAGCTCTTAAGAGAAGACCTCCTGCAATTTTCTTTTGTCCTGTAAAGTAGTCTCGCTTCTAATGGGGTCGAAACAGTGTGGGAGTAGATTGGGAAAGCGAGATGGAAGACAATGGGGAACAGAAACATTTGGGATGTGGGAGATTTAGGAAGAAAGGAGAGAGTGAGAATAAACCTCAGATCCCTAAGTAGCCCCTTGGGATGAAAAGATGGACAGGGAAGTTATGGGTATTGGGGTTGTGACTCCATCCAGCAGCATTACAGTCCTGAGGCTGGGGCCAGCCTGCCGTACAGTGATGGGCTGGCAGCCTAAGCTCAGCACGTGGGAACGAGCATGGGGGAGGCAAGACCCTTTAACTTCACACAGTGACTTACCTGAGGGGCAGGAGGGCAGGTTGCTTTCGTTAGTGGCGTTGGTTCAGGAGAGATGTTTTGGTCAGCCTGAGGGATTGCATTCTGTGGGAAGACATAAAGAGCAAGCACAGGGGCTTTCACTGGCCAATCCCATATCTGCTCATGCAAATAAGTCACTGTGTCCCAGAATCAAGTCACATCGATAGTTGAGGGCTGTTAAGCAAATTGCATAACTTTTCTAAGCCTCTGTTTTCTCTTCTGTGAAATGCAAAATATAACAGTGCTTATCTCACAGGATTGTAGTAAGGAGTTAATAATGTAATAATAGAATATCTAAAGGTACCTAACACATAGTAAATGTTCAAGAATGCCAGGCATAGTCCTTACCAATGCCATTGCCATTGATTCTAAGAGTCCCAAAAGGCATACAGAGGGCAGTGAGTGGAGGACGCATCTTCCAGTTAGAGACTGGAATCTGGGGATGGGTTAGGAAATGGCTTGTGGTCTAATAACAGGATTGAGAATCAGGGATATAACTTCCACCCTCATCCCCATATCAATTACCCAGTTTGCTGAGAGCAACTCTTATATTTTTGTTCACAGCTAACCGTAAGGAGCACTAGGCATTCCCTGCAGGCATAATTGGAGAAGGAGGATGAGAAGAAGGAGGTAGAAAGAGGTCTTCGTTTTGTAAAAAGGCAGCATCCTGAGCTGAAGGTAAAATGAAGAGAAGATGAAAAGCAGCTCCTGGGTTCATAGGGGAGGGGAGGGAAAGCAGCAGGGAAGGTAGGAGCAGGTGCTGTAGGGAGCAGGGAAGAGGCAGCTGTCATGCTTGGGAGGTCTGGGTCCCCTTCCAGCATTCCTACAAAGCAGAGATGTCAGGAAGGTAGCCTTGCTCAGGTTCACCTGCCAAACTGAGGAAGGAGCTGATAAGGATGGGAGGACAGGGACTTTTCCCATCTGGCAGTGTGTCTGGTGTGGCATTATCCTCCTCCACCAACACACACTCTGGCAAGACCTAGGAACTAAGGTAGTCTGGGAGGGTCAAACTTTTAGAATGAGCCTGGGACAATCTCCAGTGTGTGTCCTGAGAGGTCCCAGTTGCTGTGGCTCTGGTTCTCTGCCTAAGGAATTCTTTCTGCTTTTCTTTCTCCTCTCTTTTTTTCTTGGCAGCCCCACAAGCTCGGCGGCTACTTTTCCAGAAATCGCCAAATTGGATGATATACCTCATTATAGGCCTTTTGTTCCTTCCTTCACTGGGAAAAGGTGCAGAGAGTATGATCTAAGGGCCCTTATTGTCATCTATTCAGATAACATGACATTGCCCTTGACTAATGCTCTCCATAGACTAGTAACAAAAAATTCCAGCTGGGGGAGACATAGAATTAGAATGGAGGCTCCATGAAGGCAGTCATCTTTTCCTATTTTGGCAACCACTGCAGCCCAGTGCCTTTGTATACAGAATTTAATAAATGTTTGTTAAATGAGTGAATAAGAATACTTTTTATTTAGTTAAGAATAAAAATAGTTTCAGTTATTTCAGAGTTTGTTCAGTGGTAGAATAATGTGGTTACAGCCCCAGGTTCTTTTTCCTCTTTCTGCTTCACCATGCTTACAGTTTTGGCTCAAAAGTCACAGGGTGATTGAATTAACTCCATGGACACAAGATAGCTGCCACAGCTCCAGACATCACATCCTCACACCAACAGCCCAAGCAAGAAGGGACATGGACAATTTTGAGTCTCTGTTTTTAATTCAAGAAATGAATTGTTTCTCGGGAGGCCCAAGCAGAACTCTCCCATGTCTTCTTGGTCCGATTTGGGTCACCTGCCACCCCATGCAACCCCACTCCATGCAAAGGTGGCTAGAAAAAGAAAGATTTGGCCAAGAGAAGTAAAAGTTCTATTATTGGTTTAACTAATATTTTATCCTTCAGGACCGGACACATCAATACCCTGAATGACATTAAGATTCTGTTAACACTGAGAAAGGGGAAAAGGGCCACCAAGTGGGCAGCTAATTATATCGGACAAAGCTGCAAGATCTACTTTTGCTTCTGCTATTGTTAACCTCTCTGACCTCCATCTTCACTCTCTGGCTTTTCTTTCTCAGAGTGCCCTCTGATGAACAGCTATTTCTCCTACTGACACCTTGAGAATGAAACCCAGGGATCTCCGTTTAAAATAACATTTGTTCCTCAACAACCAGGATTGAGGTAAAGGAAGAGGAATAGAAAGCAAAAGAAGGAGCTGACTCAGACTCAGAGCTGGACCCAGTAGTGGGCACATTGTTCATTGTAACTCCTCCATGGGCCAGGCCCTGTGCTATGCACTGGGGAGTCAGTGGTGTGCAAGTTAGGTAAAGTTTTCTCTTTGGTGGATTACATGTTCCAGTGCAAGAGATAGTGAATACATTCGTAAATAGACTATGAAGTCAACACTGAGAAGCATCATGAAAACAAAATTTAAAAAACAGGGCAAGAGGTAGAGGTGATGGCAAAGGTTTTCTGAAAAATAATTGAACACTGACCTTGTGTGTGAGAACTGTGTAACTATCGGGGAGGCAGGACATAGGAAGGCCTTAAGGTGGGAGGGTGGCTGTGACAGAGAATACCGAGAATGCAGATATGCCAGGGTGAGCAAGGGTCAGAAATGAAGTTAGAGATATCGCCAGTGACCAGGGGATGCAGGATTTAGTTGACCTTCAGATTTTATTTTTTCATGTAATGGAAATCACTAGACTTAAACAGGAAAGTGGCATTATCTGTTTTGTATTCTAAAAGACTCACTGCAGTTGCTATAAATAGGAGTATAGCTATTATTATAATAATTAACAGTATATATTTGAACAGAACAGTTATAACAAATTTTTATAAGTAATTAATAAACCCAAACAATATTTCATAATTATATTTTGTAAAATGAGAAAGATAGAGCTTCTCCTCCCACCCAAGTAGTTTATATACTCATGGACAAATAACTTTGTTTCACTAGAGTGAGATAAAGTCTAGAACCATTATATTCCTATATTTCTTTTTTTTTTTTTTTTTTTTTTTTTTTTGAGATGGAGTCTTGCTCTGTTGCCCAGGCTGGAGGCTGGAGTGCAGTGGCATGATCACAGCTCACTGCAACCTCTGCCTCACAGGTTCAAGCAATTTTTCTGCCTCAGGCTCCTGAGTAGCTGGGACTACAGGCACGAGCCACCATGCCTGGCTAATTTTTTTGTATTTTTAACGGAGACAGGGTTTCACTAGGTTGGCCACACTCCTAACCTCCTGGTTGGTCTCGAACTCCTGACCTCAAGTGATCCACCTGCCTCAGCCTCCCAAAGTGCTGGGATTACAGGCGTAAGCCACCACACCCAGCCATTCTTAGTATTTCTTTTCATAGTTGTCAGTTTTGACATGCCCACTTCTTATAATTAAGTAGATAGAAAGAAAAAGTATTTATTGTAGTAATGCCATTCAATTTGTCCGAATTCCTTTTGAATGATTTGTCAACAATCTCACACACCACCTTACTATTAAAAATTATTTTTGGTAATTCATCAACTGACAACTGGATTATATCCTCCTCCAATCCTATAAAGACCAAACCATGGAAGCCTCCCGAGCTGTGAAAGGACTTGTTACCCCATCACTGGATCATTCATACACTCAACATGGATGCCCATCTTTTTAATCATTTCTTGTTTGGCATTCTGCAGATTTTTATACTCCAAGATAATAAGATTCAGTGACAGGTGAGGGCTGTGGTTTTCTTTTGTTACGTGGTAGAAAGGCCATGGTGTGAAAGAAGTCACCTTGATCAAAGCACATCTCAGGCACTTGAATTTAGTCAAGAGTACATACACATACTGAAAATCTAGAACTAGATTCCCTTAAAGCCACCCCTGCTTGCCCATCCCTTGAAAAGTCTTCTCACATATAGCGCAGAGCTTGTTTTTCTAGTTGGTGAGCTCTGTAGGGGTGTATTATTTTATTTCTCTTTACCCCATGCCAAGCAATGTGCCTGGCACAGCCATCTTTTTGTTAAAAAATGAGGGAAGTGGGGGTTTGGAGTGTCCGTTTGCTTTTCCCATTCTCCCCATATCTTTCCTAACTTCCCATCCCACTTCTCAAACTGAGATGTCACCACTGGGACACTGACAGCATTTTCTGGCCAGGGAGTCCCAAGCTGGGGACCATAAAAGTGATAACATAAACACAGAGCGGTTTAAAGTTTGTCTTTATTACCCAACAATCAGGACTGGAACAAATGAAGGGGTATGTTTGAGTTAGATTTCCTGCTTGAGACCCTGGTTTCATTACTGTCACGGTCACAGAACTGAGTTCTCAGCCTCCTCCCTCTCACGCCAGGTAGCAGCAGTGGGCAGTGGTCCAGTCCATCACACTGCACTGGCAGTGGCAGGTGGTTCCCCCCTGAACATCCCACGAACCACAGCCATAGCCACAAGCACAGCCAGTGACACTCATCCCTGCATGGGCACATGAAGCACAGCCATCAGAGCTCTTGGAATGTAAGAGGAAGAAGGGCAACCCACAACCATGTTTCAACCCTGTGCAGTCAGGGGTAGAGCTAGGTTTCGTGGGGCCTCAAGTTCATTTAACTTTAAGAGCTCCTTTCAAGAAAAGAAATACAGATATCACAAAAACAAATATTTGGGGCCATGAAAGAGACTTATGCAAGTGAGAGACTTGGAACTTGGGAGTTTCAATTTTCTTTGATTTGTGATAAATTCACCTCTCTGTTGGCCCCTACCCATCAAAACAGGGGAATAGATTGGAAAGACAAATGAAGGATGTGATCATTATGGGACAATGGAGGAGAGGAAGGGCTGAGAAACAGGGGCATGAAGTGAAAGGGTGAAAGGAAGAGGCAGAAGCCCACGATCCCCCAGTAGCATCCTTCAGGGAAACAAGAATGGGCAAGGGGTCTCTAGCAGGGTGCCAGGGTGATACAGACCTGAGGTGGGGGATGGTGTAGGTGCAGGGAGATGGACAGGGGAGGACACAGGGCATCTTACTTACCCTCAGGGAGTTACTCACCAGCAGGGCAAGAGGCCAGCCTGCCTTGGCTCTTGAAACTAGTACACGAGAGCTTCTTGCTTACGGGAAAGGGACTGTACTCTGAGTAGGAAAGAAGAAGGGGTATATAGCCCATGAGCTATCCTCCCTATAATCCCCTTCCAAATCATCTTCTACCTCGGAGGTGACACTGTGTCCAGAATCAGGCTACTCATCAACTTTTAAGGTTGAGTTTCCTCATTTTTAAAGGGGAAGTAATAGTTATCCTTACCTCATAAAATGGTTGTGGGAATTAAATGAACTAATCTACATAAAGCTCGGATTATACCTGGTTCATAATGAGTGTTCATAAATTACAGCTACCATTCTCCACGTCTTCCTCCTCATCAGGAAAACCTTAGCTTTTAGCCAAGAGTTCAAACAGGGTTAGGGTAGTGTAGAAAGCCCTCATCAGGGGTTGGGCTTTGTTGGGATCTTGGGACAGGATAGAGACAAAGCTGGAGTTTAAGAACAGGAGAAATGAGCAAGGGTCAGCCCCCCACTTCCCCCTACCCCAGTCAGTTACCTAGACGGTTGAGAACATCCTTGATCTTCTTATCCATAACGGAGTCTAAGGAACACTGAGTACTCCCTGGGATGATCAGCTGGAGAAGGGGGATGAGGATGAGAAGGTGGCAAGAGGAAGGCCCCATCCTGTACAGAGTCAGTGTCCTGGGGCTGGGAGAAAAGATGGAAGGCCGCTTAGATCTCTGAGCTCCTGGGTGGTGGTAAAGGAAGAAGACAACATGGTTACTTTCCAGAGGGTAAAGATGGAAGAACAGCACCATCAGTACTGGATCTCTTTAGGTGGTTTGGAGAAGCAGGTAGGGTTGCTGAAGAACAGACTTACTCACCAAAACTTTCAGAGCAGGTCTGCAAGGACTAGCCAGGCAAGGGTGTTTTCATACCCCTGGTATTAACCTGGGCATCTTTAATATGCAAGCACACACACACGTAACACACTCCCAGCACATTTTCAAAGACCTGTGCCAGCTAGGGTGACAGGTGACTGTGATAAACTTTGGAGTGTCCATGAGAAGCAACAGCTGCCTTTGCTCTGGATCTCTGCCGAGGGAGGCCTCCTGCCTGTTCGTTCTCCTTCTCCTTTCTTCTTGGCAACCCGATAAGGCTAGCACCTGGGCCTTTTGTGGCCTGCCGGTATTATAGGCTTGTTGTTTGATCCTTCATCAGGAAGAGGTTACTTTGCAGTTAACAAACAAATTAATCCACCCATCATCTATCCCAAACCCAAGTGTAAGCTCTTTCTTATCTCTGTTGGCTGAGGGAGGGCCCTACTCATCACCTGTTCAGACACTATTTTATTGTCCCTGGCTAATCTCATTCATAGGAAAGTCACAGAAAGACTAATTAATCCTAATTATTTAAAATAAGGAAGTTCAGTATTTACTTAACTAGAAGCGTGGTTTATGATTCCAAAGTTCTTCTGGGGGCTCGTAAAGTTCTCCTTTTTCCCCCACCATTCTCAGCTAATCTTTCGATCTTGTCTCTTTATAGACACAAGGTAGAACGTGCCACATCCTCAGCCCAGACCCTGAGCAGGAAAGAAGGAGTGGGGCAAGGCCACTTTCTTTGGGGGCTTTACCTTTTTATTTTGAGAGCAGGATCTTTCCCTAGAAGCTCAAGAAGACTTCCCCTTACATTTCACTGTTTGGTTCTGGGTCACACAACCTCCCTTTCTATCAGCTATGGCTGAAAAAGAGAGCTGGGCTTCACAATTCCTTATCCAAGACCCGGGGCCCAGGTGTGTTTCAGAACTCAGAATGTTCCAGATTATGGAAGGCACAAATTCTCTGTTATACCACTAAGGAGGTTGGGGGCAGCACTCTGCAGTCTAAATAGTTTGCTAAATAGTCTGCTGCAAAATGTATGAATATTAATGCAGGATAAATAAAGACCATAAACAGCCTCACACCAGGCCATGCCAAGTTTTTCTGCCAAATGAGCCTCAAATTTAGGACAGAAAAATTTCATTTTTAGAGGCTTTTAGATTTTAGAATAATGGATAAGGGATTGAGGACTTTGAGGATTCACATATGGCCAAGAGGAGTGAGGATGCCATGATTCCTCATCTAGGATGGGGCATATGGCCACCATGAATAAATAAAATTTAAAGAACAGCAGATGAAGAAGCAGAGAAAGGGGCCACGTGTTGTGGCTCATGCCCATAATTCCAATAGTTTAAGAGGTTGAGTCAGGAGGATCTCTTGACCACAAGAGTTAAAGACCGGCCTGGGCAACATGGCGAGACTCTGTCTGTTAAACAAACAAACAAAAAAAATTGCTGGGTGTGGTGACATGCATCTGTGGTCCCAGCTACGTAGGAGACTGAGGCAGGAGGATCACTTGAGCCTCGAGGTTGCAGTGAGCTTGAGATTGTTCCATTGCACTCCAGCCTGGGTGACAAAGCAAGACTTTGCCTCAAAAATAAATAAAATAAATAAAATAAAATAAAATAAAATAAAATAAAATAAAATGAGAAGCAGAAAAAGGCAGTCAGGTGACTATTCCTGGAGGCAGTCAGAGCTGGAAAAGTTGGGCTCTACCTCTGTGGCCAGCCTTTCTACCCACTTTCCTGGAGATGCCCTCTAATGAACAGCTATTACTTGTACATATCTCTCTCAGGCAACTTTGAGAAATGAGGCGTAGGGATGCCAGCAAAAAGGCAAGGATGCTTCCTCAATTACCAGACAGGAGTTGAAGAGAAGAAAAATGCAACTGGAGAATAAGAAAGAGCATACATTTGGATTTGGGATAGATGATGGATTGATTAATTTGTTTGTTAATTCAATGAATATTTGTAGAGCTTCTCTTTACCAGCTCTAGCTCTGGTGACTCAGTGGCAGACAACGTAGATAAGATTTTTGTCCTTTTGTTACTACATTCTAATGGAGGAGATAAATACCGTATATATATATATATGGTCAAGTATTGAGAAATACTCTAAAGAAAAATAAGTCAGGACAAGGCAATAGAGTGTGCCACTGTGCTATTGCCCATAACACAGTATGTTCAGGAAAGGTGTCTCAGAAAAGGGAACAATGACCTGAAGAAGTGAGGGGGTGAATCATAGGAAAACCTGGGACAAATGTTCTAGCCTATGGAACAAGTATAAAGAGCCCACGGCAAAGAGATGTTGGTGTGTTGAAGGAATGACAACAATGGCAATATGGCTAGAATGAAGTCTGGGGGGAGAGGCCAGAAAAGAGGTCAGAGAGCTGACCAGGGCCAGATTACAGAGAACTTGTAAGCCAATATAAGGGCTTTGGGTTTTATTATAAATTTGACAGCAAATTATTGTAGTGTTTTGTTCAGGGGAGTGACATAAAATGATTTATGGTTTTCTAATGCTTAATTTTTCTCTTTTTTTTGGAGATAGGGTCTAGTTCTGTCACCCAAGCTGGAGTGCAGTGGTGTGATCATGGCACTACAGCCTTGAACTCCTGGGCTCAAGTGATCTTTGTGCCTAAGCCTTCCAAGTAGCTGAGACTATAATAGTGTGCCACCATACCAAGCTGTTTAAAAAAATTTTTTTTTGAAGAGACAAGGCCTTATTATGTTGCCTAGGCTAGTCTTAAATGCCTGAGCTCAAGTGATCCCCCCCATCTTGCTTTCCCAAAGGTGAAACTGCAGTTGTGACCCACTGTGCCTGGCCCTGATTAACGTTTTATAAAGCTTACTATGGCCACTGTGGAAGAGACACCATGCAGGTAAAACAGGTAAGAGGTAAGCAGGGAAAGCAGGCAGCAGGCTTCTACAGAGTTCTAGGTCTCAGAGAGTAATCAAGGAAGGAGTGAGAACGGAGCCTCCACAGGGTTTGCTGATGGATGCAAGGTGTAGAAGAAACAGAGAAGTACAGATCTAGAGTTTTGTTTTGAATAACTTATTGAAGAGTGCTGCTATTTACTGAAATGGGGTTCCCTGGGAGAACAGTAGATACGGTGGGAACATAACATCATATTTGATCATAGTCAATTTAATGTGCCTATTAGAAATGTAGGGGGAGCTGTGGCATGCAGAGTTAGGTATACAAATCTGGGATCCAGGGAAACAGTAAGAGTTGGAGATATAAATTTGCAAGTAACCAGTACACAGGTGGATCTATGTGCAGAGATACTCAATGGGAAAAAAGAAATATATTTGTTTTTAGTGAGGCACATAAAGAAAGCAGAAGACTGGGTAGTGGATGAGGAGAAACATATAGGTTTAGAAATATGAATTAAGCTGCATCAACTAATCAGTTTGTTGGGAACAGCAACAAAAGAGAAGAGGACAGGAACACTCAAGAGTGCTCCTGGGTTACAATGAGCTTGGAAAGCAGGGATAGTGGTCACCTCCGGGGAACCTTGTAGTCAGTGGCATGTTTAGCATACTTGACACCCAGAGGGGATCACTTTTTAATACTGCTGTCCTTTATATAGCAAAATCATTGTCAGTAATAATTATGTAATGATCAGTAATAGAGCTATTATTTTTGATTCATTCTCTGGTTTTAAAACAAGAAAATAACTATCAGAAAGGATAAATTGTAACTTTAAATATATCACTTAAATTCAGCACAATATTTTACATCACAATTAAAATTTGCACTTTTAAACAAAAATATCGCCTCACAGTTTGTACTGTTTCAATATAAATTTTAAACACAATTAAACTTCACATAATCATATAGAATGATCAAATGTCTCCGTAATTAAAGTTGGGTTAATTTGTCCTTACATCACTAGGCTACATTGTTTTCTTTTGGAGAATCTACTGTTTAATCGTACTGTTTCAATATAAATTTTAAATACAGAATTAAAACTTCACATAATCATATAGAATGATCAAATGTCTCCGTAATTAAAGTTGGGTTAATTTGTCCTTACATCACTAGGCTACATTGTTTCTTTAGAATCTACTGTTTAAATGCAGGAATATGTAATAACACAGGAACGGAGACAAACCATTGAAACAAACTGGATATTGAATTGTTATGAACTTACTTTAGAAACTAACTTACTTTAGAAACTAAGATGTGTAGCTGAGGCCAAGTACGGTCGTGCCAACTGTAAAACTGGAAGTTCTCTGAATTAATTTTCATGTAGAACACAATGTTTATTAAAAGGTAAGTAATAAAAATGTGCTAAACTGAAGCTTACATATATACTGTTACAACTCAACAGTAATCACAGCAATTATTTAGAACTTCAATTCACAATGTTTTGGGGGATGAATATTTTACCATTGATATTATTTAGAATTGCCATGCATGGTGATAATGAAGAGCAGATTAGCTTTTATTGGCTTTATTATTGCTTTTGAATTCTCTACGGATAATGCATCCTGCTTCTAGCCAGCGTCCCCACCCTTGGTAGTCGCTGCTGATGATATGAGGACATTGCCTGGGATTAGTCATTCTATCACAAGCTCAGGAATGCTGAGCTTCTACCTGAGCATCCCTGGAAAATATTCAGAAAAATCCTACACAAAGAGATGAAAGAAACGTCTTTATACTTCCAGAATTTGTAGATAAACCCAGTGGAGACTTTTAAACATTCTCCTCTCGCTTAGAGCTACCTTCTTCCTAAGAGTGCACTCCTCTCCCAACGACCTAACTGTGGAGGTAACTGCATTTGTTCATAATGCAGGATGTTCAGGGAAGGTAACAATGACCTTTTAAATCATATCTCCTTTCCCCCATTCGATTCTCCACTGACTATATTGTGTTTCATTTAATTTTATATACACAGAGTTTGAAAAGTTACTAGCATAGGGCTCCAGCTGAAAAAGAAAATTAAAAGAGGGACCATAAACCTGGGTATGGGCAACTGGGAAAGGTAAAGGCAGAGAAGATGGAGATGAAGCTAAC